ATTTTAGCCAAGACCTATATCCCTTCTTATTTGGGCCCAGGCCTCTTGAGGAAAAAGGTAAGGCTCAGGACCCCAACTCTTCTTCTTTGGGCCCAGGCCTTTGCAGGTTAAGCATTAGGTCTAGGTACATTTCTCTTCTTCATTGGGCCCAGGATCTTAAGGAAATGTGTTAGACCCAGACCCACATGATTTCTTGCTTGGGCTCCGGCCTCTTCAGGGTAAAGATAAGGCCAATCCCAAATTTCTTCTTCACTGGGTCCAGGCCACTTCTGGGTAAAGATTAGGCCCAGGCCCACATCTCTTCTTCTTCGGGCCCAGCCCTCTTCAGGATAAAGATTAGGCCCAGATCCCCTTTTTCTTTCCTTGGGTCAAGGAAAGAAACTTCTCTTCAGGAAGGGGTTTGGTTCAGGCCCAAATCAATTCTTCATTGGGTCTGGGCCTCCTCAAGAAAAGGATTAGGCCCAGACCCCCATTATTTTTTCTTTGGGCCCAGGCCTCTTCAGAATAAGGATTAGGCCCAGGTCCACATCTCTTCTTCATTGGGCCCAGGACTCTTCAAGGAAAGGATTAGGCCCAGGCTTCTTTCAGGACAGTGTTTGGCCCAGGCCCATATCACTTCTTCTTTGGGCCCAGGCCTCTTTAGGGAAAGGGTTAGGCCCAGGTCCTCATCTCCTTTTCATTGGACCCAGGCCTCTCCAGTGTAGGGATTAGGCCCAGGTACACTTCTCTTTTTCATTGGGCCCAGGCCACTTTCAGGACAGGGTCTGGCCCAGGTCCCCATCTTTTCTTCATTGGGCCTAGGCCTCTTTTTAAGGAAAGGATTGGGCCCAGGCCCACACTCTTTTTCATTGGGCCCAGGGCTCTTCAGTGTAGGAATTAGGCCCAGGCCCACATCTCTTCTTTATTGAGTCCAGGCCTCTTCAGGGTAAAGATTAGGCCCAGGCCCACATTTTTTCTTCATTGGGCCCAGGCCTCTTCAGGATAAGAATGAAGCCCAGGCCCACATCACTTGTTCATTGGGCCCAGGCCTCTTTCAGGACAGGGTTTGGCCCAGGCCCATAGCCCTTCTTCTTTGGGCCGAGGCCTCTTCAGGAAAAGGGTTAGACCCAGGCTCACATTTTTGCTTCTTTGGGTCCAGGCCTCTTCAGGGTAAGGATTCGGCCCAGGCCCACATCTCTTCTTTGGGCCCAGGCCTCTTCAGGGTAAGGATTAGGTCTAGGCCCACATTTCTTCTTCATTGGGCCCAGGCCTCTTCAAGATAAGAATTAGGCCCAGGCCCACATCTCTTCTTCATTGGGCCCAGGCCTCTTCAGGGAAAGGACTAGGCCCAGGCTCCCATCTCTTCTTCTTTGGGCCCAGGCCTCTTCAGGATAAGTAATAGGCCCAGGCCGACTTCTCTTCTTCATTGGGCCCAGGCCTCTTCAAGGAAAGGATTAGGCCCAGGCCCACATCACTTCTTCATTGAGCCCAGGCCTCTTTAAGGACAGGTTTTGGCCCAGGCCCATATCCCTTCTTTGGGCCCAGGCGTCTTCAAGGGAAAGGGTTAGGCCCAGGCCCCCATCTTTTCTTCATCGGACCAGGCCTATTCAAGGAAAGGATTAGGCCCAGGCCCATATCACTTCTTCATTGGGCCCAGACCTCTTCAGGGAAAGGGTTGGGCCCAGGCCCACATCTCTTCTTCACTGGGCCCAGGCCTCTACTGTGTAGGGATTAGTCCCAGGCCCTCATCTTTCTTTATTGGGCCCAGGCCTCTTCAGGGAAAGGGTTAGTCCCAGGCCCACATCTCTTCTTCACTGGGCCCAGGCCTCTTAAGTTAAGGATTAGGCCCAGGCCCACATCTCTTCTTCTTTGGGCCCAGGCCTCTTCAAGGTAAGGTTTATGCCCAAGTCCCCATCTCTTCTTCATTATGCCCAGGCCTCTTCCGGGTAAGAATTATGCTCAGGCCCACATCTCTTCTTCATTGGGCCCAGGGCTCTTAATATATGGATTAGGCCCAGACTCACATCTCTTCTTCATTGAGCCCAGGATTCTTCAAGGAAAGAATTAGGCCCAGGTCCACATAATTCCTTCTTTGGGCCCAGGCCTCTCCAGGAGAAAGGTTAGGCCCAGCCCCCATCTCTTCTTTATTGGGCCCAGACCTCTTCAGTGTAAGGATTAGGCCCAGGCTCACATCTTTTCTTCATTTGCCCAGGACTCTTCAGGGAACAGGTTAGGCCTAGGCTCACATCTCTTCTTTGGGCCTAGGCCTTTTCAGAGTTAGGATAAGGCCCAGGCCCTTATTTCTTCTTTGTTTTGCTCAGACCTCTTCCAGGTAATCATTAGGCCCAGGCCCCCATCCCTTTTTCATTGGACCCACGCCTCTTAAGTGTGTGGATTAGGGCAGGCCACATGTCTTTCTTGGGCCCAGGCCTCTTTGATATGTTAGGCCCAGGCCTACATCACCTCTTCATTGGGTTAGGCCTTTGAGGGTTATTGTTAGGCCTGGACCCGTATCTCTTCTTCTTTAGGTACAAACCTCTTCATGGTAAGTGTTATTCCCAGGCCCACATCTCTTTTTCATTGGTCCTAGGCCTCTTTAGGGAAATGGTAAAGCCCAGGCCCACATCTCTTCTTCATTGGGCCCAGGCCTCTTCAAGGTAAGCGTTAGACCCAGACCTATATCACCTCTTTTTGGGCCCAGACCTATATTGGGTAAGATTTAAGACCAGGCCCACATCTCTCCTTTATTCAGGTCCATGTTTTTCATGGCAAGCAATAGGTCCAAGCCCTCTCATCTTTTCATTCACCCAGTGTCTTTAGAGGGTAATTCTTTGGTCCAGCCCCATTTCTCTTCTTCTTTGAAAGCTTTTTTATTGGCAAGTGAATGTTCTTTGCCTACTTATCTTCTCCATTCTGTCAAGGCCTTTTAAGGGAAAATAATGGGACTAGATCAGCATCTATTTGTAGGGACTGGGGCCATTTATTCTTACCTAATGTCTCAGGCTTACTTTTTTTTATTTTCCTGTGTGCCCCTGAAGAACATGGATAATCTTAGGGCCACCCCTCTTCTTCCTTGGGCCTGGGATTTTTCGGGTTCAGCAACTGACGTAGGAAAGTGATGTGCTGTAAAAGATGAACACTTTTACATTAGTGTTCATATCAGCTCAGCTTTTCTGAAAAAGAGAAAGAGAAACATCACAACAATAGACTTGTCGTCCTGAGAAAATATGGAATGGAATTCTAGAAAAAAAACTATAATGGTTAACTCAGCTTTTTGCTGTTTGCTGGTGGCATACTGAAGCTTCTTTTAGAAAGATTTTCCTGACTCAGCAGCAGCAGAAAGAAACCTGTGCCGTTTTAAAATGCCAGCTTTCCGACTCTTTCAGGCAGGAGGTCCAGCTACAGAGCATTTGAGTTGAGAGTGTGAGCAGAATGCCTTGACTAACTTGATGGCAACATGGACTCACTGTGTGCCTCGAAGTGGGGCAATGTAGGCAGGCCAGAGGCACAAGCAGCTCAGAGGTACAAGAGGCTCCTCTATTACTGGACTGGGTGGGGCCAGCATGCACTACTGTATTTGATCCAGCAATGGTTCAGCTTAAATTTTTAAGAATCATTTAGTGTTTTCAGAAGTACTTCTGGACAGTAAAGGATTACAGATACACACTAGAACAGATTCAGACATAAAAGACCTATAAATGGGTCATAGTGTTGCATAAATGTACATAGGCTTAGGAGAGAGAAAATATAGATAGTTGGAAAAGAAGTAAATTGTTTTAAGAAGAAGTCTTTAAAGAGACAGAGTATAGACAGTCATAGATTAAAAACAGTAAAGAAAAATAAGTCATGTAAAAATGGAAAATTCACAGAGTCTGGATTATGTATATTATTGTTTTCTTTGAAGTTTTTGACTATGAAGGAGCCAAGTACAGAGAGGCATTTCATTCTATGGGCTGCTAAGCTAAACCAGTATGTATATTATAAAAGTATCTTGACTTTTAGAATTTGGGTCTCAGTATATGGTGTTTTGGAAAAGAGGTTTTTCTTTTGTTTCCACAGAGATGAGAACCTGTGAAATACTTCCAGACAAACATAATTTGATAGACCATGGCCCCTGAAAGGTCACTGTGAACACCCTCAAAAAATTACTTTACCTAACTGCTGACTGAGATGAACCTATCACACAGGATACACCATGAAAGACGTGATTAACAGTGCTCCCAAACAGCAGGAAGAGGTATGGACAGAACTATGCCCATATTCCCAAATATTGTTTATAATTGTTTGTTTACATTTAAGGGGGTATATACTATAGAGATGAATAATTTACATTGGAATGGATCTTGGTTTATGGACATAAATTTAAGGTCAATCTTGTTATATGTATATTTCTACTATTGATTAAGGTGTTGTGATTGTGTAGTTCATTTTAAAAATGTAATGTGAAATTAAGAAATGTATGTTAATAGATAATCATCTATAATAATCAAGGTTTTAGTCATGTTAGTTAGATTTTCTCAATGTATAGAGATATATTTCACTTAAATATTCTTCAAATCTTTCAGAGACCTTCAGAATGTGGCATTTAAAATGTTTAGGAACTTAAGACAAACAAGCAAGTTCTCCCTCCTACAGTTTTCTGGTATCTCCTTGACCTGTGTTCAGGAAAACATGTAGAAACACAGACATCTATTCCCCACCATGCCGATGATACAAATTATACATTATACAAATAGAAAGACGAACTCTGTAGTGAGGAGAGACAGAAAACTGTGGCACACACCTGTTTTTTGGCCTGGTACCTTCAGGAAGGCCCTAAAGCTCCTTTTCTGAGCATATCTTGGGGACAAGGTCACATCCAGTCCTCTTCCTCCTCTAGAGGACTTCACAACTAGCAGGAGCAAGTTCAATGGGCATGAGTCATACTCATCCCCAATGTACAGTACATAATTTTTGGTCTATCATTTCTGATTCTTAGGCAGTTACGAAATTTGTACAGACATGTGAATTGGAGTGTGTCATCTGCTAGATCCTGGACACCAATCTGACTGTTAAATTTGTCCTGTAACCTGTCCCTTCACCACCATTGAACACAGCTTGAAGTAGCTTCCAAACATGGCCCTTACACTATAGTCGATGACTTCTGAGAATGACCGTCCCTGCAGAACGGAATAACAACAGAGCTTCTTCCTGTTGATGTTTGGAACCAGGAGTCCTGAGACAGGTACTGGCCGCCTCAGCTGATCTCACAATGTTTTCAAAAATACAGGTGTAGATTAGTAGAAGTAATGAACATACATAGAACACTCACACATGAACATGTATGTAAAGATTTACCCACAGATAACAGAGTAATACAAGTTTCTTAAATAAAAGGACAAGTAAAATGTCAATATTGAGAGTGTGACATCACTGTCTATGGCCCAGTAATGAAGGGCCTAGGTCCTGAATAAAAATGGTTGTTTTCAGGCAGCTCATGTCTGGAGACATCAAGAGAAGGTCCCAGTGAAGCACTTCCTGTCTTCCTTGTGCTGCATGCGCCCCTGAGGGATTGCCACAAGTGGTTGCTGTAAGTTATTGATCCTAAACCTTCTGTTGTTTCTACCTAGTCTTAGTCTTAGACTAGGTCATCTCTAGACGTTTTCTTTCTGCTGTGTATAGGTTCCTGTCCTGGATATTTTGTGTGGCATGTCACTCTGCAGACAGGCTTGGATTCACTGCTTTTTGGCTCCTTATCAGGATTTCTGTTTTTAGATCGGGATACCTCAAGAACTGCATTGAGCCCCTGTCACCATCATTCAGGTATGACCTGAATTCAGGTCATACCTGAATACCTGCTTGTAATACCTTTAAAGCACACACATCTATAAATACACCCATGTGTGTGTGAATGTGCATGTGTGTAAGTACATTTAGACATATATAAACATACACACATATGCATATATATATATATCCAGATTATTCATGGTATAATATATCATTTTATATAAATGTAGATAATGGGAAGAATTTGGAGTAAAGAAGATGGCTTTAGTTCTGTTTTATATTCTGTCTCTAACATTAGTCATATTGGGCACAATCACTAGATATTAAAAATGGGAAGAAGCAATTTTGAAGCATTTCCTGCCTGCCCTGGACACTTTGGGCTACCATAGCTGACAGGTGACCGGGACTTAGGGCACAACAGCAGACTTCATCGTGCCCCAGTCTGGGTTACACTTTGGGTGTTGTCATCCCTTGACCTTATCCTCTGGTGAGTTGTGGGTGTCATCTCCTTGCATCCTTGTTTGGCAAGGTCCTCGGCATACATCACAATAGATAAATTATTTCCACTGCTATGGCATAGGTCCTATTAAAAGGCACCTTGGCCAGGCAGTGGTAGCATATGCCTTTAATTCCTTTAATTCCTGCACTCAGGAGTAAGATACAGGCAGATCTCTGAGTTCAAGGCCAGCCTGGTCTACAAGAGCTAGTTCCAGGACAGACACCAAAGCTACACAGAGAACCCATATTTCAAAAACAAAAAAGGGCACCTCAAAGTCCACATTGTGCCTCATACACTTTATCATCCCCCACTTCCCAGTCTAACACACTGACACTTAATTAGGCTTTATCCCATATATCCTGCACGCATGTCTCTCTCCACATAGCTCAAACCTCACTACATACCTGCAATTCCTTCTGAAATGCACTCCACTGTGTACACAGGGTTCCCTCCCAACAACACCACAGCCTTTTCCTTGGCAATGAGCTGTTCTATGAGGTAACAGAGGCCTGACCACACCTCTGTCCACCTTCTTCCTCTCTGAGTGTAGCATGAGGAACAACCGTGTTTTCCCACATTGTGCTAAGCACACTGTCCCAGCAAAGTAGAAGGCTGCCCATGTGGTGAGCTCCTCATCTTATTAACAAAGCATAAATATAAAATCACCCAGACACATATAACAATGTGTATATTTCAGGGATGACATGGGACAGCATTCAGTGTCCTCTATAAGTTATTTCATACCTATGATATAAACCTGCAGACATGAGCACACATAAAGGTGCAAACATGTACAGAAGTAGAGAATTAGAGGGTAGAGTGCTGCCATGATGTTCCATATGATAGTGACAGTAATGTTTGTTTGAATATTGTGTCAGCTATGAGGACAAATGAAAGCATTGATACAACAGAAGTCCTCAGTGAAGTCATCAGTGTCATGGATGCTTTTCCTTCCTTTCCTGAACAAGCTCTGAGTGATAGTTTAATGTGGGCAGCAAACAGCAATGTTCGTCCTTCCTTACCTAGACTGCAAGCTGGAGTCCTGCTCCATTGACCCCCGTGCAGCTTCCTTCCAAGGCCCCTCTCTCTGGTCAGAGGAGGGTTTCTCTTCCTGTGGTCTTTGGGGGCTAGGCCCACTGCTATGAGATTTCTCATCCCTGCTCCCTCTTGTCCTGCTTAGAGTGAACTGTCCTCAGGCAGGACATTTCCAGTCCCTCACTCTGTTTAGTCTCCATATTTAAGATCCCAGTGGTGCCTCAGGCTGAGTGAGTCACTCATGTCCTGAATTCAGGTGGTGTCCCTCCCAGAAAACAGCCCAAACTTACCCAGACACTTGGGTCTGCTTTGAATCCCTCCCTTCCTTGGTGGACTCTGTGTTGTCCGCAGGCAAAGAACACTGCTGTTGCTAAGGCAGGGGTTTACTTGTGACATCACAGACACCTCACCTCACTTCATTCTGGGAATCACAAAGGGCATCATGGCCTCAGTGACTTCCTAGCTTTTCCTTGTTCTCTCCCAAGCTGTGTTAGGCATCCCTGGAATAACTTAGATTTGTGGTAGTAACTTGAAGTGTTTCAGAGACTCCTCCATGGGAATCACCTACATACATCTTGTGTCAGCCCCCAGTCTTCTCTGAGGAGGAACACAGTTGACAAGGCTGCATCCTCATCTCAAATGTCTGAACTCACCCTCTCCGTCATCATCTCAGGTTCTCCACAGGCATCCCGGTTTACTGCTGGCACTGTCCTGCAAGGTGCCATCTTCTGCTCCTTGTCCATGGCCACAAAATTCACTATACCTTCTTCACTGCCTTAGCTCTGTGCACAAGTAATGTTTTAGCTTGTGGTAGATTGTGGGTTATTAGCTGAGTGTTTGCCTGCAAGACCAGCTGTCCTTAGTTTCAGAGGGAATAGCATGAAAATATTCAGATAAATAACGAATAAACAGAAAGCATGCATGACTCACAATAGACTGCATTGCAGGGTGACCACGCTTGAGATGCAGAGAATCCTGGGAGCACATGCTTGTCCTCACCCCATCCTCAGTGGATATTCCCCTGAATAACCGTGGTTCTTAGTGTTCTGTCCAGTTATGTTTCAAGCCACCGGGCTCATGCACTTGCAGGTTATGCAGTGTTGGGTGCCGGTTTTCTTAGCCCTTCTCTGTCACAGGATTCTTTGTCTCATCTTGTTTCCCCTAGGCAGTAACTGCAGTCTGTCAATCACCCCAGGTTTTCAGCATTTGTCATGAAGGGGCTATGGATATAAAGCATGACCGACACCCATTACTGGAGATTGCTGGGCACTCATGGTCATGGGGCCACTGTGCATTCTGTGTAGTGTTTCAGAATGTTGGAAAAGTCAGTAGGTAAATGTGAAAATCTGTAAACCTTTAGATCAATAATCCTGGCAATGTCCAGATGTGGCATGAGGATGTTTAATGGAGACACAATGTGTGTGTTTGCATTCAAGTAGCCTCTCATGTAACAACACTCATGAGAACAAGGACCCTGTGGGTGTCACCTGTAGACTGTGTACAGTCGGATTGCCTGAAGGAGAGACAGGCTTGCACAGCAGGTAAACGAGTAGCCATTGTGACCTGAGTCTGGTCATGTGCTCTCTCCGGCACAGGCTCATTGTGGCTGTAACAGGCCATCCAAGATGGAGCACAGAGATACCAATGCCATTCATTATTGTGAAAAGTTGTCCCCTCTTCTTAAAGTATCACCCTCTTTTGAGCAGTAGAAAAACAAATTCTGACAAAACCTGATTAAAATCCTGGAACCAGAATTTAAAGTGAAACTAATTTTCCAGTCTTGTGCAGTAGCATCTTAAGGTAAGTCACATGTAAGGTAAGTCATGTGTTAATTCCCTGTTGAATCTCACATGTCCACATAGTTTGGGTTAAATGACCCAATAAGTTTGCTTCTCAATGAGCTGAACACTTGTGTCTCTTTTCAATCAGTCTGATCTCTCCCAGCATCTGCAGTGTCACGTCTCTGACAGTAGAGATAGTGTGAGCCTAGCTGCCCCGTGTTCCCAGTGGGGTGCAGACCCTTCACTGTTCTTTCCCATGTCATAGAGACCCCAAGTTTATCCAGCACATGAGCATTAAAGCTGCCACCTTAATTAGCATGACTATCACTATGCGGAACAAGAATACGAGGGACATTACTAGACAGAACGATAGAAGCTATAATTTACTATGACTCCCATGTAGACCATGTTCCGTAGTTGCTGAAAGCCAGCACTGTGTCGGATTTTGTACCTAGAGTTTGAGATGACTGAGGAGTTTCCCACGGTGTGACTGTTCCATGTCTTTGCTCTTCCCCAGTGGACAGGCACCTGGTGGTTCCCATTCCTTGGCTATTGTGAATGGCCCTGCTGAGAGCATTTGAGCAAACCTCTGACACACTGAGTGTGTCCTCTGGATCTCTACCCAACAGTGCTAATGCTGGATCTCATGGTGGCTATGTCTTTGTTTCCTCAAGAGCTGCCATGTTGTTTTCCAAAATATTTGTATATTCACGCGTATAACTTCTGTTCCCATTTATCTTCTGTTCCTATTCATCATTGAAAATTATTTCAGCTATAAAAATTCCTGTACATCTGACGGTGAGCCCTAGGTTGGAGAGCTCCCTTTTCAATGTGCAAGTATTACTCTTATGCTAAATGGTCAGAGTATCAAATTTCCACCAAATTGTTATGTTTACTCCCATGAATTACTGCCATCTCCAACCTCATCAGGATTTTGTCCGGTGTAGTTTGGGTAACACAGAAATGTACAATGTTTCACGATGCTGAGAGTAAATGCCAGTGGAGTGCTCAGCCACATTTAGGACATCTGCATCACTCCCTTCCCTGTGAGCAGGGTCCACTATGAAAGAAGAGCAGAGAGATTGAAGAGCCAGAGGTCAGAGAGGACCAGAGAGGAACGGCATCTCCTGGACAACCCTAGACTGCTGCACCCATGAAATCTCAGAATCTGTGGCGGCCTCCATAAGACTGTAAGGAAGGGACATTGATTTACATGATCATGAAAAGTAACAGAATGTTTTCCTGCAGAGACCCTGGGATCATGAGAATATTGTATATTGGCAAAGACCAGGGAAAAGAGAGGCAGAGATCTATGTACCTGAATAGTGAACATGCCAACAAATCTGGCACCTAAACTTTCCAAGATCAACAGAGACAATTCCAGAGTTGCAACACATTGGCCTCTAGTTCCTCTAATTGAGGGAGCATTTTACTGATTTTTCATTTGTTTTTTTTTTTGTTTTTTACATAAAGGAACATTTTACTATTGCTTTCACATGAATGCTTACCTGTGTTTAGGCTCCATGCATGGGATGTCATTGGTCCATTCACCTTCATGTGGAGTCTTCTGGAAAACATTTTCCAGATGCTTGTGTCCTGTGACCCACACTGAACATTCTGTTCCTCCCCTGCCTTCATCAGCAACTCTAGAAATTGTTGCTAATTTGATCTTGGCTCTGGAAGGACAGCAGCCTTTCCTATTTAGAATTTTTTATCTCTGTGATTTCATGACTAGGTGGGGGCTCCTGGTTACTTGGCTCTTTTCTTTAGTTTTCCTTGGGAGACTCCAAATAAAGACTAAGATATAAACCATGGAGGTGCACTGATCTTTAGGATGAGCTTATAGATATGTGCTGTAGTCATGGAGACAGCAGGTGAGAAGAAGATGTGCTAACTACACGCATTTGCGTTTGTGAACAACGATCAGTCAAAAATAGAGGGAAAGGGCCAAAATAAGGATTTCTGGATAGACCATGGTAGCAGATTATGGTAGTTTAAGTGTGATTGGCCCCCATAATCTCATAGGAAATGGTACTATTAGGAGGTGTGTCTTTGTTGGAGTAGGGACAGCCTTGTTGGAGAGTCACTGTGGAGGCAGACTTTGAGGTTTCCTATGTTCAGTATATTACCCAGTATATTACCCAGTATATTATTCAGTGTCTCAGTCAACTTCCTATTGTCTGAAAGATGTAGGGCTCTCAGCTATTCCTCCAGCACCATGTCTGCCTGCATACCACCATTGTCTCCACTATGATGATAATGAATGGTACCTCTGAAACTATAAACAAGCCACCCAAATTAAATGTTTTCATTTATAAGAGTTGCCGTTATCATGGTGTCTCTTCACAGCAATAAAAACCCCAACCAAGACACAGACAAATCTTTTATTTATTGAAAACTATATGTACAATGATAGGGCATGAAATACATGATAAAGAAAAATGTATGACTACAAGACTTCAGGACTGCATTATGTACACAAGATAAAGGCAGAGATCTAAAGAAGTCATGGCTTAATTCTGGCTTCTTTTAGGTAGGCTCTGGTGAAACTTTAAAGAAATACAAGCAATTATGTCTAGACAGTTGCCAACCAGAGGAGGGATTTCAGGGTTTTCCATTAAACATCTGCATTAAAATTATGTCTGTATTCCTGAGTTATCACTTTCTTGATATTTCTAATCAGGTCAAGTTGAGGGCCAAGGTCAATGGAGTGGCTAGGGAATCCATGATGTCAGGATGTGAGGGTTTGAACCACAGTCTTGAAGTTCGTAAGGGTGGCATCACATTTCATAGCACTAATGCTGGTCATCTGTTTCCTCTGAGGTCGTGGTGTTGCTAACACACATGAGATTATCTTGTCCTGGATCTCTTGCAGACCAGATAACAACAGGGCACATAATGGCTCTTGGGCACAGCCTACACACCCATCATGCCAATGTCTGCCCAGATTGTTTCTCTGGTCCCAGATATCATGAAGGCCATGTTTTGTGGTTCTGGGTTCTATGACTTGAGCATATCTCCTGGGTTTGATGAAGAGAAGGTGAGGCCCACAATCCTTCAGGTTAAATTTGGCTCAGGTTTCTTGGTGGTAAATCAGCCCCCAGTTCACACTAATTTCATTGGCTGTCATTCATCAGCTTCAGAATCCTTATTTATGTATCTAAGGTTTTTGATGAGCAGAATTGGGGAAAAATTAGTGACCCCCAATAAGGCCATGTGCCATCTAATAATTCTTGATATTAAGGCATGGCCAAGCTATTTGGTCATCAAGGAGGGTAGGTCTTGTCCCATTTAAGGTCATTGTGTGTTTTCCTTGCTTCTTTGCTGCAAGCATATAACTGGGTCATATGAAGAGAGGGTGTGGCCCATATACCCTTGAACTTGAGCTGGACCTAGGGTATTAGGCATTCAGAGAGCTGGCAGGACCCATTGATGTCACTCTAAGGCCTTTGACTTTATGTCATTCCTCAGACAACCACCTCATCATGTAAAGTAATCCTGCAGTAATAGGTGTGACCTAGGTCATACTTGAGGTCAACTTTTTTCCTTGATCTCTGGAAGTCCTCATATAAGAAGACCTGGGCACAGAGGATTTCCTGGGTGTAGCCCACACATCCTTGATCCCAAACTGCACTCTTGTAATTTGATGCTCATGTGTGGCCCAGATTACTTGAAAGCAATGATGTCTTAACACACCTGATGTGAGAATAGCGCCTGTGTTGGAAGAATAGCAGGTGCATCCCACACCTGCTATGGTGGTGTGGTACCACAAGAAGATTCTAGATTAGCATTGATGAGAGTTCATCACCTATTATGTAATGTCAATCATCAGTGCAAGAATAGTTATGGGTGAGTCCAAATTTCTAAGTGAACATTGTATGGACTGGGTCACAAATGAGGCTATGGTTGTCCAACGAAATAAGTTGATGTGAGGTAATGCCTGGCCTCAGACCAGGTCAGTGTCGTGGGTATGTTCATTTCCTCTGGTCATTAAGATGATGTTTGGTGTCTTTAAGGCCTGGCTCCTTTGTGGTGAGATTACGTCCTGGGTAGGCTAGAGGGAGGATGTGACCCACACACCCTGTAAGATAATAACATTCCAGACTACTTGGAGATTCAAAGAGCTGCTGGGTTTCCTTTGTGTACTGTTCATAGTCTTGAACCCATGTTAATAATCATGTTATCATCAAGTTCCCCTTCTTGGAGGGAACAATGTGTCCATATTTTAGTTAATGAGAACAAGGTAAGCTCTGGGTTTGTCCAAGATTCTTGTTGAGCAATCTATGGCTAGAATTACATGAGAGAAATGCTTGCTATTTCTTGCAAAGAAAAATTGCATCAAATAATATGCAGAGTGCAGTATGACACCCTTTTTGGTAAGATATGTCGGCGTTTTAGGTTATTTAGGTGAGCCCTTGGCACATTATGGCAATGGTGTCATCCTTGCTCACATGTTGAGGATGTTGTCTGGATTGAATGAAGCATGTGTGTGAATGAAGCATCCATGTCTCTGGTACTCAGGATGTCAGCTTACATTGGGCAGTATAGGAAGTATTGTGGGTTAGTCCAAGATTGTCAATGAATAAGCTGGGATGTGTCTGCACTAATGCCTTGGTTGGCTGTAAAATAAGAATTGAAATTAAGGCCTTGATCAGAGTGCCTCAGGGTGCCACATGTTTTTTTCGCAAAGTTTGCCCAGGCAAATTTATTTGTTTGGGTTCAGGCTTCTTTGGGAGAGGGTTAATTTGAGCTAATATCACATTCGATTTTGTGCCCGGACTTCCTCAGTGTTAGGGTTTGGCCCAGGCCTTTTCCATTTGAGGGTTTGGCCCAGGCCCACATCTCTTCTTGCTTTCAGCCCAAGATTCCTCAGGTTCAAGGACTGGTCCCGGGCTGTATCTCTGTTTACTGTGGGCCTTGTCTTCTTCAGCTTCTGGGATGGCCTGAGATTTTCTTGGTTGGACCAGGCCTCTTTCATTTGAGAGACTGGCCCAAGCCAACATATCTTCTATTTTTGGGCCCAGGTATCTTGAGCGTGAGGAATTCACCTAGGCCCACATCTCCTTTTGCTATGGACCAATGTTTTTTTCAGGGTCAGGTTTGGCCTGAGCACATGTCTTTTCTTGATTTAGCCCAGGCCTTTTTCACTGGCGAGATTACCTAGGCTCCTATATCTTCTCCCTTTGGGTCCAGTTTAAGGGTCAGGGATTGGACAAGGCTGTATCTCTTCTTGCTTTGGACCTTAGCTTCAAGGTCAAGATTGGCCTGGGAACACTCTTTTTTTTCCTTTGGTTTTTATTTAAAAAAATAAGACTCTTACTTTTGAGGGGTGGTCCCAGTCACACATATCTTCTCTTTTGGAGGGGGGCAGTTTCTTCAAGGTCAGTGATTAGCTCAGGCAACATCTCTTCTTGCTTTGGTCCCAAGCTTTTTCAAGGTCAGGATTGGTCCAGGCACACTCATTTTCTTGTTTTGGCCTGGGCTTCTTCATTTGAGGGACTGGTCCAGGCCCCATACTTCTGTTTTTTGTTCTAGGATTATTTAGTGCCAGGTGTACAGCCAGGTCCAGTCTTTCTATGATTTGGGCCTGGGTTTGTCTGATTCAAGGATTATCCCAGGCCCATTTATCTTTTGGCTTTGGGCCTGGGCTTCTTCAGGGTCAAGGTTGGCCCAGAAACATTCATTTTCTTGGTTTGTCCCAGGCCTGTTTCATTAGGAGGATTTGCTAAGGCCTTCTTAGCCTCATATTTTGGGCCTTGGCTTCTTCAGGATCAGGATTGGCCCTTGGTACACTCATTTTCCTGGTTTGGCCCGGCCTCTTTCATTTGAGGGTTTAGTCCAGACTCACATCTCTTCTCTTTGAGCCCAGGCTTCATTAGGGTCAGGGATTCACAAAGGCCCAAGTCTCTTCTTGCTTTCAGTCTGGGTTTGTCTGGTTCAAGAATTGGCCAAGGCCCAAATCTCTTCTTGATCTGGGACTGGGTTTCTCCATGATCAGAATTGGCCCAGGTACATTTATTTTCTTGGTTTGGCCCAGGCCTCTTTTATTTGATTGACCCAGGCCCACATTTCCTCTCTAATTGGGCCCTGGCTTCTTTAGGGTCAGAGATTTGCTCAGGTCCACATCTCTTCTCATTTTGAGTCCAGGTGTCTTCAGCGGCAGGGCACCTGTTTCTCTTTAAGGTTGAGGTAGTGGATCATTTTGAGTCCATGTTTGTCAAAAGCTTTGACTTAAACCTTGGTTTACTGTCAGCATTTCTGGGGAAAAAAAAGGCAGGTGGACATTGATAGAGGAAAATACTTGGTGTCCTTCTCTGGCATCTCAAAGGTACTCAGAACATCATTGACCTGTCCTCAGGGAAACAGACACAGTTCACATGAAACAATTATACATTATACAGACAGAAAGATGAAATACATAGGAGAAAAAGCTGGTTGGAAAGTCCTTCCTGATGCATAGCTGACTGTGTTTGTGGTGGAGAGCACCCATGAGCTCATGTGGAAAGCTTGCTGCTTCTAAGTTGTGAGACCCACAATAGGGTCCCACCAAGGCCCCATGATGCATTTCCATCCTTCTGTGGTCATATCTCATGATGGAATACCAGAGGTAGTTAAGAGAAATAACAGAGCCTAGTCCTCCATGTGTCTAGAGGATGCCTTGCTAAGGCATTGGGTTCTGTGAATGGCTTTACGGGGTCTCTTTCCTGTGTGGGGATGGTGTCCTCTCTCTGTATGTCACACATGGCCATGCTCTGTGAGGGTGACTCTGGTCATTGCTATTGCAATCCTTCAAAAGATCACATCTGTCTTGTCTGTCAAAAAACCCTCAGACACTGAAATGTACCTTCTGTACCCCTTTCAAAAGAGCCCCCTGCCAAGTACATAACCTTCACTTCAGGAATTTTCTTCAGTCACTTCCCTAAAATGGAAACTTTTACTTATGAAAGCTGTGTTAAATCTCCTCCTGGGTTAAAATCCTAGCCCACTATAATGAACTCTGATACCATCAGAACTAGGTTACACCAATGACCATGATAGTGACCCTCATGTGAGGTCACAGAGGCCAGGTCTCACTCTCTTTGGGAAATCTCAAATGTTGTCTATGCACACAGATGTCTTTTAGACTGGTACTCAGGGGAAGTCCCTGAAGGTGTCCCTTAGATCATTTCTTGGGAACAAGCTCACACCCAGTCTTCCTTCTCCTTTAGGGAACTTCACTCCTGTGAAGAGC